AGGTCACTGTTCTGGGAGGAGTTCTGGGAGCTGGGGCTGCTGTCCAGCTCATCCCAGCCCCCTCCGGCCTGCCCAGGCTGGTGTCTGGTGGCTGCAAGAAAAGATGGCAGTTGTGACCCTCAGAGGCTTTGTTCCAGGTGGTGGTGGGGGGGCAGCTCTGCTTCCTATCTGTCCCTTCCCCAAGTGAGGAAGCACTGCCACCTGCCTCCACGCCCCAAAGCCCCAGGCCCCAGCACACAGGAGGAGCAGCCTGACCCGAGAGCAGGAGTCCTTGCCTCAGTACCTCGGACACCTGGGAGGGCTCCAGGGAGCTGGTTCCCAGGGGTGGGCAGGCCATGGCTGACTGCAGGAGTCACGGCAGGCTGGTAGGTGTCTCCCCAGGGTGGGGGTTTCTGGGCTCCAGGGCGCACGGCATTAGCCACCACCTCTGCAGCCCTCTGGATGGTGGAGAAGAGGGCCTCGCTGGCAGAGCCTATGCCCACAGAAGGGAGCCATATGAGCCCCAGTCTGCCCCCTAGTCCCCACATTCTCCAGCACGGAGGGGCCAGGGCTGCTCCCTGCTCAGGGCTGAAGAAGACAGGATACATGCTGCAGGTAGAGCAGAGGTTCCTAGTGGGACCCCAGCTCCCTGGAAGCTTCCAGCATATTCCATTTCAGCAGTTCCCAGGACCATGGTCCTGGACACCCTCAGCTGACARGAGCTTGGGGTCAAGAAGCAAAAATGTTTTGGGCGCTTTGCTTGAGGGATGCCAGGACTGATGCCAGGAGGGGCCGCCCTTTTCTTTCCTAGGCTAAAGCAGAAAAGCCCACAGAACCTGGCTTTCAAGGCCCTTTCCTCCCAGGCTCTGTGCTCCAGCCAGCCCCGCCCTGCCCCCAGGGCCAGCAGGGAGTCCCTCTCCTCTGCCTCTGTGTAGGCCATAGCCAAAAGAAGCATCAGCAGGAACCCCCAGAGCTGCAACCAGGATGGTCTGTTAGAGTCCAGCAGATGCCAGCACCAGGGGCCAGCTGAGATGCCTCGCACAGCAGCACAGGCTTCACAGATCCCGGGCCGCAGGCGTCTGCAGGCACTGCTCCCTGCACCACTCGCACAGGTGACAGCTGTTTCCACCTTGCTGGCCACTGCCCTCACCCCTCAGTCCCATCAGGGGACTGAGCCCCCGCTGCTGTTGCTGGCCAGACCCTGACCTCCCAGCCTGACTTCTCTCCCCTGCCCACAAAGCCAGTGTGGCCCCGGCCCTGCTGCTCTCCTCGTGGCTGGGCAGAAAGATGCCAATGGGGTCCACGCCAGGAAAGGTCCACCAAGGTGGGGCTGGGGTTAGCAGGGGAGGCACAGGGGCCTGCTCCCACTGCCCTCCTATTCCCTGATCCCCCAACATGCAAGGGGCCCCATAGCCTCACCCTCTTACCTGCCTGGGCTTGCTCCTTGCTGTAGCCAAAACCCTGGAGGGTGCCCTGAGGCCTGGACTGGGAGCCCATGCCTATGGGAGGACCCTTGAGTCAGTGACCAGCCAACCCCACCCTTAGCCCCACCACACAGGCAACCAAGCTCAGAATACTCCAGAGGAAGAAACCCAGTGACAGGCTGAACGTGATCTCCATGACGAGTACCTGCTGGAGCCAGGCTCCGGGGAGGCTGGGAGGGAGGCAGCGGCAACATGGCGTCAGAGAACAAGGTGCTGCCCAGGTCCTGGAGGAGGAGGCAGGGTGCTCAGCGTCCACATGGGCCTGCTGCTCTGGCCCCCCCATTCCTGTCAGCTCTGCTCCATCTCAGATGCTTCCCCTGAGCTGCCTAGCTAGACACAGGGGCTGGAGGCTGGCAGCAAGGAGCAGAGCCTGGGGTCCCAGGTGGCAGGAGAACGGCAAACACCCTGTGGGTGCTCTGGTACAAGTTCAGAGCGACCCTGATCCTGGGCTCACCTGGGCAGCTGCCCGMACCTTCTGGTACAAGCTGTTCCCGTGGAGAGGATCCGGGGGCCCTGCAAAAACTAGAAGGCAGAGAAAGCCAACAAGGGGTGGCTGAGCCTGGGCACTGCTGACCACCTGTAGAGTATGGCTCTTAAGGCCCATTCCTCCCAAGCTGTGGGCTACGGACGCCCCATCCCTACCGGCATGGCCAGCAAGGAGTCCCTCCTCAGGACCTATGCAGGCCACACCCAAGCAGATCCCCAGCACCCTCCTCACCTACCTGACAGYGGTGGCCCCTTATCTACCACCGTGGTGGCTGCTGTCTCCTCAGGTACCCATGCCTCCCCTCCTGCCAAGTCACTGCTTCACCCCTCACTGCTGCCTTAGGCCAAGTCTCCTCCAGCCAGACGCAACACAAGAGGCCTTGCAGGGACTGGATGTGCAACCCAGGTCTGTATCACGGCCTGAAAGGCCCTGCTTGTTTCAGCCCCACTCACGCCCAGCCTTGGGCTGTGCCAGGCTCCCTCTGCTAAAAAGCAGAGGTCCTAGAAAACCAGACTCAGTCACCCCCAAGCTCTCCTGCCTCAGGGCATGACAGCACCCCTCACCTACTCAACCTCATCCCATGAGGGCTTACAGCTGCCCGTGGAGAACCCTTAGCCCGTACCTCCAATACCTCCAATGCAAACAAATTCCCCTTTTCACCCCTTAACAGTCAATCAATTGACAATCCTTCTCCCTGCCATCCCACCCTGGCTTCCCCCAGCAAAATCTGTGCTGGCTCCACGTACCTGTGGCTTCCTGGATGAGGGCAGAGTTGCGTTTGAGGATCAGCAGGAAGGAGGAGGAACCGTGGCTGCACAGGTAGAGCAAGATCTTCAGCACCTGGGGAGTCCGCAGGTACAGAGTGCTGAGGGTTCTGGCATGGGATGCTCAGGGCAGAGCCCAGCTACCAGACACCCTGGCTACATGTCTTCCCCTCCAGCCTTGCCACCCACAGTGGGAACTGGGGCCTGACTGCTGCCACTCAAGGACTCACCTTGAGCTTGACGTGGCCAGAGCTGCTGTCCAGGCGGTTCAGGAGGTATTCCAGTAGGCACTGGCTGCTGCCCAGGGACTCATGGGAGATTTCTGGAATGCGGTCAGGTTAGGGAAGGAACCTGTGTGTGTGTGTGTGTGTGTGTGTGTGTGTGTACAAGCGCTCGCGCTCACGGCCTGTTGTAACACACGTTGCATCAGGATGCACTGGCTGAGGAGAGAAACCCAACCTCCTGTTACCAATGGCCTTCTCAGGGCGTGCTTCCTAGCGGCACTGACTGTAGGCCCTGGTTTCAGGAGTGCTGGGCTTCTGGGGTCTCCTGTATCGCAGTTCTTGGACCTGCCATCCCTGGATCCTATGATGAAGGAGCTGTGGATGCCCACAAGAGAGCAGAAACCCTAGTAACCTCAAAGCCACAAAGGGCCCCTGCCATCCACTCTCCCCCTCACCAGGAACATGGAGGAAGGATACTAGCAATCTCTTCAAACAGGTAGCCTGGACACGGGACATCATCATCCGAGGTGCCCTTCAGGAGAATTGGGAGCTGAAAGGGAACAAGAGCTGTGACACATTGCCATCTTACACATGTGAGCCCACAGTCACCAGAGGTGTTAGAAATAGGCCTCACCTAGCTAAGAGGGACCAGAACCGACCCCCAGGCCACAGGGAGGAGAGAAAGGAATGATGGTTCTCTTCTTGGGTCAAGACAGGCCCAGCTCCCAACCTTCTTACTGACATGTGAGATGGTTTTAAATAATACCCCTGCTTATTGACTAGCAAGAGCAAAATGCCCAGAACATTCTACGTAGAGAATGTGAATGCTGCTAGTTCTCCTGAGCACAGGTTCAAAGAATCAGAAGCATTCACTCTCCATATTCCTGAGAACAACTAACTGAAGTTTTAGGTTTTATGTTCACACATCAACAGACATGTTTGCTTTTCACGTGCTGACTTGGAATCATACCAGTATGCTGTTGAAAACTAACATGTTGTCATGTTATCCAGTATCTGTCCAGAATGGAAAAGTTGGGGGCTATTTAATTTGCTTTTTATTTACTTACTTACTTATAAGTTAGGGGTTATTTTAAATGATAAGCACTGGAATCATGTCTGGTGCCAGTGACCTGAATGGCAGCCATGTGTCAGGACTATACGTAAAATCGTGCAACGTGTGTTACAACAGGCTGTGAGCGCGAGCGCTTGTACACACACACACACACACACACACACACACACACACACACACACACAGTCACACCATGCTATTTGCCCACCATGCCCTGAAGGGGACCTGGAGGGAGGGGGTCTGCAGGACTACAGGAGAGCTCGCACAGAAGCGTCCCGTCCGGGGCTCTGCGCGGGAGACCGGACCCTTCTAGCAGCCCGAGGCGCGCGTCCCCGGACTACCCGGTGCTCTAGGGCCCAGGGCTGTCAAAGGACGACGCAGCGTTCCGGACAATGGCTGGTCACAGGCTCCTGACCTCTCCCTGAGCATCCACTACCCAAGCCTCTAGCTTCCCCTCTGTCGCCTGGAGATGTCTGCATCTCCCGTACGCGACATCTCCAGGACCTGAGGCTCCCTAGGCAAGGTGCCGTCCGGAGCGCCGCGGCCTCCGGGTGAAGGAGGTCGCCCGCCCGCCGCCCCCTCATCCTCCGCGATCAGGGAGAGCTCGGTCCTTCCCTCCTGCTGCTCAACAGTCCTTTCCCGTCGTCCCAGGAAGGTCCCCGGGCGCCCGGCGTCGGCGGGGCGAGCCGGCCTCACTCACCCGGTGCAGGAAGCTCAGGCGGTCCCGCAGTGGCGGCGCGGCAGCCATGGTCCAAGTCACCTCCCGGTCTGCCCCGCTTCCGCCAGGCCCGGGTCCTCCAATCACCGCGCGGCTCTGGCCCCGCTAGCCAATCGCTCGCGGGAGGCGGGCCCTAAGGTCGGCTTCGTGAGCAATTTGAGTCTGAACCAACCCGCAGTCCCARACCACAGACAGACAAGGACCAGAGCCAACTGCAGGGGCTCTAGGCCTCCAACCTGGAAGAGTGGGCCAGCTAAGCACGGAAGCGCCGACCGATTTACAGCTGGACGCCGGAAGAGGGCGGGCCTAAGATGGCGGCGCCCTCAGGTGCCCGGAAGAGCCGCTCATGTCGGCGAACGGAGCGGTGTGGGGGCGCGTGCGGAGCCGCCTCCGCGCCTTCCCCGAGCGCTTGGCGGCCTGCGGGGCCGAGGTAAGGAGCCGAGGGCGGTGCCGTGCCTGTGGGGCCAGAAGGGCCGCGCGGGCGGTGGCGGGGGGGCSATGGCCGCGGTCAGGCCCCCGATGGCGCCCTCCCCTTGCAGGCCGCAGCGTACGGCAGGTGCGTGCAGGCCTCCACGGCCCCCGGCGGCCGCCTGAGCAAGGACGTCTGCGCGCGGGAGTTCGAGGCCCTGCGGAGCTGCTTCGCGGCCGCGGTAGGTGGGCGCGACCCCAGCCCCAACCCGCCCCAGGGTCGGGCTCTCTCCCTCAGGCCGCGGGGAGGACCGGCGGTGACCGGTGGAAGGCGCTCGCGCCAACTCGCGTTGGCATGTCACCCAGGGCCGTCCTGCCCGAAGGGACCCCAGCGCCGCGCTCCGCGTCCTGTTTGCAGCACGCGCTAGTGGCCGCTGCCCCGCGCCCCTTCATCGCTGACCATTCCACAAGGAGTCCTGGTCGGTTCTTGGTCCGAGATTTGGTCTGTCTCTGACCCCTCCACCTGCGTCCTTCCTGTTTCTGGGCTTCAGCATCTTCTGGTCCGTGCTATGGGTCTTTATGCAATAAAAGTCCTGTACAAATAGCCACATACTTTAAGGGGAAAGACCCAGGCCCTGGTGAAAGTGGGGTTCGTGGAGGCTGGTGGACTGGGCCACRGTGAATGTTCCAGAACAGGACTGGGAAGCTGTCACCTGCCAATGGGGCTTTTGTTGTTTATTTATTTTTATTTTTTTGTACTGGGGATTGAACCCAGGGCACTTAATCCCTGAGCCACGCCCCTAGCCCTTTTTTTTTTTTTTTTTGCATTTTTTAATTTTAGAGTCAGGACCTTGCTAAGTTGCTGAGGCTGGCTTTAGACTCACAATCCTCTGCCTCAGCCTCCTTAGCAACTGGGATTACAGGCACTACTACACGGGGCCCAATAGGGCTTTAACCACAAGGGTCTTGTGCCATCATTATTCTGGGGTTGCATATACCTTAGGTACCCCTAATTCAGTCTGGGGTCTGAGGTGAGTCATGATGCCAGTGATTACTTGTTTACTGGAAGCTATTAATGCAGGGAATTGGGCCAAAAAAAAACATAGCTGGCTAAGACTCACAGGATTCAGTGAATCCCAAGCAACTTCTKGATGTTTCAGGACTGCCCTAGGCAGAATGGCAGTGGACGAGGAATCTGGTTCCTGTTCTCCTTTTTGGAAGGCTTAGGGAACTCTCTCTTCTTTTAGTTCTTATGGCTTAGCCCCACCATGTGGCCCCTGGACTAGCTGCCCATCCAGAGGCCAGTCACTCACCAGCAGTTGCCCTTTGTTCCTTTCGGCAGCTTCCCAGCCTCACTGCCCTTCAGAGGGGAAAGGCAGCTTTGAGGCAGCTCTGTGTTAGATGAAGAATGGCGTGCTCCTGCTGTTTGTAGGTCTCTGTGGCTGGTCAAGAGCTAACCCTTAGGTTGTCGGCCATCTGTGACCCCCCCCCCACACACACACACTCTTTTGCCAAGGTCAGGTAAAGGCCTCCCCACAGCAGTCCCTGCATGTGCCCTCACTCACTTGGGCTGGGGCCCCCAGTTGTTTCTCACAGTGAGGAAACCTGCCAATAAGCTGGTTCGGGCCTCTCCTCCCCGTGATCCAAGGCACTTTTACAGGGTTCTACATGAGGAGGTGGAAAGGTCATTGGGCTCAAATTCCTGCTGCATCCTTGGAGCCCTCCCTGTGACCTGGACAAGTGACTTCACCCTCTCTGAACCTAGTGAGAATAGTCTCCCACTGCTGTTGCCCGTGTGTCTGTGTGTGTGTGTGTGTGTGTGTGTGAGACCAGATGTGTGTGGGCCTGGTGGGGTCTGGTGCAGGTGCTGCTCAGGGGTAGGCAAGTGAGGTCTGTGCTGGCCGTCAGGGTCACTGTGAACAGCTGAACTGGACACCCAGCCCTGGGGTGAGCTCCAGCCAGCTCCCCCAGCACCCATAAGGTATTTGGTAAAATATGGCTTTTATTGTGGTGGGTTTGTTACTTTTGAGCCATATCTAGTTTGGAAAAAAGCCACTCAGACAAAACGCTTTTATCTTTCAGGCCAAGAGAACCTTGAAGGGAAGTTCCTAGGAAGGACCCTACACTCTGACCTCCGTCCACCACCACTGGATGGCACACAGCGAACACTCTTGGGCTAGAAGGGGTGGGAGCAACGAAGTTCTTGGGTGTTGGAGCATGTTTCTTCTCAACAGGTTGAACCTTGGGTGGGCAGGAACTTATTATATGTAAGGATCTGGGTTAGGTTAAGATGTAATCAAGCCAGCAACAAAGACTATTGAATCCTGCAGCTTCAGCTTTATTGTACAGAGTGAGTGGCCTGTGGGCCTGGCCTCCCCCAAGAAGCTGGCAGGTCTGGGCCATGGAACACTGCCACCAGGTCCCCACTTAAGAACCTTCTCCCCAGATGCATTTAACCTGAGTAGTGAAGGAAGCCCCTGAACCTGATAGCCAGTGCCCAGAACACACCAGAGATAACAGTCCAGAGGCACAAGGGGACCCACTCTGCAGATGATTGGACTTAGGAAGGGGGCAGTTCTGACTGCAGCTGCCGAGTACCTGAGCCCAAGGTGCTCTTGAGCACAAGCCTTTTCCAACCCTTCATGGGCTCCCCGTCCCATCTCATGGGGGACCTTTCTAAAAGGTCTGAAGTGTAACTCTGGCACTCCTGAGGCCACAGGGAAGCCACAGGCCTGAGCACCATCTGCTGGGCACTGTGGGGAACCATCCTGTTCACTTGCTGGGCATAGAAGGCATGCTGTCCTTGTCACAGCTTGCACCCCCTCAGGGCCCTGGGGCAGAGCAGAGCCAGGATGGGGCCCTTTGGCACTGCCTCCTGTGAACTCAAGTCTGTGCTCTGCCTTGCGTCTAAACCTTATTTCAAAGCTGTAAGTGCTGAAACTCCTTCCACTTCAAGATGTGGCTTCCAAGAGGGTGTAGTGGCCACTGTGCCAAGGCTTTAGAGAGGCTGGGTCTTGTCCAGAGAGAGGGACATTGTGCTGGCATGACTCTCTGCTGCTGCTGGGGTGTTGGGACAGGGCAGCCACACATCTCAGAAACACTAACTTCTCAAGTGTCCTTTCTCAGCTGGAATGGTGTCTGCTGCTGCTCACATGACCTGTCTAGGCTTGTACTGTTTCAGGCGTGCTCTGTGTGGCTGCCATAAAAGAATACCAGAGACTGAGCAGTTTATAAAAACCCTTTCTCATTCTGGGGGCTGGAAGTCCAGTGTCAATGGTGTCTTATGAGGGCCCTCTTGCTGCCCTTCTAGCAGGTGGCAAGGTAGGAGCATGTACACCTAGGCACCACCTGGGCTCCCAAGAGCTGTGTTCCTGCCATGGGGGTGACTCGTAACCCAAGCCCCTCTTCGAGGACCGCCTCGGTGCTCTCGTTATGCCCAGGCAGAAGTCTTGGTTCCCGAGGGAGAGCTGGAGTTCTGTAAAGCCAAATGCTTCTGGGTTCCCGCCCTGGCTCAGGGTGCTGTGCACTGACTAGGCAGCACTGTCCCTGCTCTAGGTAGGCACCACTGCCCTGTGGTCTGCACTGGGGTGGGCCTGGCCCTTGTCTGCCAAGGGCAGCAACTGACTTGGTGGGTGGCTCATTGATGACCCAGTCTGAGAGTTCTGGCCAGAACTACTGGYTGCTCCCAGCAGTCATGTGACCCAGACAGGGTTGGTGCCGAGGAGTCAGAGCCCTGTTCAGAGCTCCACCCAGAGGTCTGCAATTTCTTGGGGAAGAAGTTCCTGTCCTTACCTGTGAAGGGCTGCTGACTGGAAGGGGCAGATGGACAGCCGGAGGAAAGTGTTGAGGGGGCAGGTGAGGGCAGTGGCAGCTGTGACATGCCCAGTCATGACATCCATCTACTGGGGTAGATGGCCCTGACTCTAAGGAGGACGGGGGCAGGGGGGGAATGGTATGACATCCAGCAAGGAAAAGAAAACTGGGTGAAGGTAAGATGCAAGAGAAAACAYGGGGGCAGGGGGGGAATGGTATGACATCCAGCAAGGAAAAGAAAACTGGGTGAAGGTAAGATGCAAGAGARAACTCGCACCCCAGCAATCTTAACCCGTGGAGCTTGATCCCAGGGTCACCCAGAGGGTGCTTCACCACGCCACAGCTGATCTGGAGTTGTGAGGAACGAAAGGTGGGAGGTGACYTGGGATCCACACCCCTCTTGAGCAGTGTTCAGCAGGAGTCCCAGCCTGGCCTGCAGAAACTCCACTCCTATTCATTTTCTAAAAGATCACAGTAAAATCTAAGGACTTCAGCAGGTGCAGGGTGGCACCACACAGCCCTACTCCCCAGGCTTCCAAGGCCAGGTGCAAATATGGTGCTTCCAAGACCCAAAGACAAGCCAGGCTCCTTGTCCCTGCATTCCTCAAGTGCCTCCCCCTCCCCCCCAGGCCAGTGGTGTTAAAGGCACAGAACTAAACCCACACCTCCCTGCCTGAATTCCCAGCAGCAAGGCCCTGGTGGCCACACTGGTAAGTGTGGAAAAGGAATGATGGCCGAGGCAGCCCTGGGCCTGGGCCGCRAGCCCACTGCAGGCAATAGCACCTGGTGCAACAGTGCCACTCCACAGCTGGCAAGGCACACTAGGTTGCTCTGGTTGTGGGCATGCACGTGCCACAAGCACRAGGCAGCCTCTAGGGCTGCACTTGCCCTTTGAGCATGCAGGTCCTGTGATGTCTGGGTGGGGCACCTCCCCTCCAAGACCCCAGTCCCATCAAATCCTGACTGGGTTTTCCTTCAGGTGACTCAATGCCAACTTGACTCTTCAGTTATCAGTGGTGTTTTTATTTTTAAAAAAATCTCATCATTAATTAATTTCAAAGAACAGGCCACAAAGTGTGTGGATGATTGACAGGAAGCTCAGATCAGCTACACCCTACAGCTGGCCAAGGCTCACCCCGCACGTCTCWCACACCAAGGGCTTTGCCTGCCAGTGGGGAGGCCTCAGCATGCTCAGGGAGGAGCCCCTGGAGGGACAGAGGCCATGGTGGAATGCAGGTGTCACGGAAGCCAAGAGTGGGATCAGCACTGCTCGACTAGGCACAGCAGGCCACAGGTGAGACCCTCTTCCTCTTGAGGACAGCCAGAGCCCACAGCTGCAAAGGCCTAGAGGCCCTGAGAAAGCAGGGAGAATGCCGCAGACAAGGCGGTCCTTCAGGCCTTCCCAGCGCTTGCTAAGGGGCTCAGACAAATACCTGGGAAGAAACAAGTGTGACCTCACACTCACCAGCGGCTAGACACTAGCTGGCCTCCTCCAGAGCCCCAGACAACTGTTTGATTTGCCGGCTGTGAACCACCTGCAGTGCGCCCCCTGCTGCCTGGCGGAGCTGGGTATCCAGGGCACTGCGAAGATCGTTCACCTGGACATCAGGGAGGGGGTTAAAGCTGATGATGACCCCATCCTTTGGGGCTGGCTCCCCCTTGGGATGAGGGGCAAGATCCCGTCGCCGCCTCCGAAGGTCAGAGTCAGCTTGCAGCTTCAGGTCTCGGTTGGGTTTGGGATTGTCTGGCCTCTCAGCCGCAGGAGCAACTATCCTGGGGCTGGGCTCAGGGTCTGGCCTCTGCTTGGGCTCCTGGTCGGCAGTATCTTCCCCAGCTCTTGGCTGCTCATGAGGAGCAGGTACCTGGTCCCCACCAGGGGGCTCCTTTTTTGCCTCTAGGTGACCACCTTGGACCCCCTCAGAGATGGGCTGGGGTTCCTTCTGACCTAGCATGGCTTGGGGCTGAGGGTCCACTCCTGCTGGCCTGCCAGGGGGGTCCACGGCAGGTCCCAGGTCTCGGCTCAACTGCCTGGACTTCATATGAGGGTCCCCAGCCTCTACAACTGCCCCTACCATGGGCCGGTCAGCCTCCTCCTGTGTGTTGGCCCCAGTGGCTGCTGCTTCCTGTCCAGTTTTTTTCCTTTCTTGGGAACCTCCGCCAAAGGTGTCCTGGCTTTGCCTGAAGACCTCCCCAGCAAGATGCTCTTCTGGGCTCCCGGGGGCCCCGGCAGGGTGTGGCTTGGGTGCTGGTTCCAAGTCTTGGGCCACCTTAGGCTCTTTYACAGCCTGGGCCACCTCGGGTAGGGCACCTTTCTGTTCCTCTCTCAGCTTGGCCCRGGCTCCCTGCGGCTCTGTGTCAGATCCTCCACCAGGAGGACCAGCTGGGTCTCTGCCCGCTGCCCCCTCGGGTTTCTCTGGGGAGTGCTGGCCCAGTTCCCGGGGTGGAGCTCGGCGATCCCCTGGAGCTCCAAGTGCAGGTTTCAAGGGCTGTAGAGGGGCATTTTCCATCTTCCCCGCAGGCCCATCTCGGGCCTCCTTATCCTGACCTTTGGGCACACCCACTCCAGGCTCTGGCTGCATGTCTTCTGCAAGTAAAGCTGATGTTAGTTTGGGCCACAGAAACAAATACAAGCTGCTAATGCAGGGACTAAAAAGAACAGACTGCGAGAAGTTAAGAATTACAAATCAAAATTAAACTCGCCCTCTAGACTTCAGGCCAGCAAGCCTCAGGTCCAGCCCCAGATGCCTAATGCCCTCCCCCTGCCAGGGCCAGCCTACCAGGCCTGGACTTGTCCTCATCCTCCTGCCTCTGCTGGTGGATCTCCTTGTGCTGCTCCTCGATCACGGCCAGCAGCTTCTCCTGCTGGTCCAGCAGGCGCTTCTGCTGCACCTGCTGCTCTTTGATCACCTGCAGCAGGACAGCGTGGTCCAGCATCTCTGCCCTGCCAGCTTCTGGTGGGGACACACACAGCACACAGTCAGGACACTGGGCTGCCAGACACCTGGTGGGCTGCCAGCATGACGCACCTCAAGGCCCAGAGCTGCAGCGGAGGGCCAGGCCGCCTTCACCTCAACTGCATRAGTGCAGTGAGGGTTCTGCCAGTGAGAGTTACAAGGAGGCCTAGAAACCTGCCCACCACTAGCTGGGTGCCAGCTCCCGCCCGCAGCCACACCCTGGTGGCCAGGCCATCCAACCAGTTAGCCCCCCACTGTTGTGGTTCAGACACAACTGCAGAGCCCAGCTCCCTGCCTGGTACTTGCTGAAAAAAATGCGCCCAGAGAAAAACCAAATTAAGTCTGGGAATGTGCCAGAAGATCAGCAGTTATCTGGGGTGGGTGGTTTCCCCACTGTTCACACTGTTGTTCTAAGCCAATCACCTAAGAAAATAAGAGACAAGCTAGTTTTTTAAAAAGAATATTGGTGGGGCTGGGGATGTGGCTCAAGCGGTAGTACGCTTGCCTGCCATGTGCGGGGCGCTGGGTTCGATCCTCAGCACCACATACAAATAAAAAATAAAGATGTTGTGTCCACCGAAAACTAAAAGATAAATATTAAAAAAAAAAATATTGGTACTTTAAGAAAGTTTCCTCCAAGGTGAGAATAAACACAGTTTTCCTTTAAGAAGAGCATGGGGGCCAGACCCAGTGAGGCATAGGCCAGTGGCCAGCACACAGCTGTCCTG